GCGAGACCCTGATGGGCACTGGGTGTGAGGAAAGCCTTCGGTGCCAGGGGCTGATGCATTGGCTGATTAGCAGCTTGCATGGCCTCTGCTGATAGAGTCCCTGATAGCTGCAGAGCTATTTGTTACCCTGCTCTGAGATACCGATGAACGAATGTTTTGGAAGCAGCTGACATTTTCCTCCGCTCTCATCCCTCAGCTAAGAGGCCTCTCGTCTGCAGCAGCTCTGTCAGTATAAAAATCAGATAACGCCAAACTGTACACAGACAGTGTCGAACCGGCTTTACTGTTGTTTTCCCATTTTTTCACCCAGCAAAGTTCACATCAACAACTTCAGTTAGAAGTCACAGTTGTAGTAAATTAAAAATTCCTGCTCTAGCTGACATCTCAGACTCAATGCGACTTCTGTCTCCTTGGGGATGCTTGTCTCAGATTGCCCTTGCCAGCACGTCATCTGCAAGCCAAACAGACACATGGCAACTCCCGGTGCGTTAGTTGTATATGCCATCAGTTATTCACATTGGGCACATGTTGCTGTCACTGACATTTCTTTGATATAAATTCCCAATGATTTATTAAAGAGAAATTCTGAATGATTACAGTATGAATGATGACAGTTATGATAACGACCAAGAGTAGCTGCAAGGCTGGCACCACAGGAAAGCAGCTGTCTCATAGTAAAAGCCCCTACAGTCCTATAAAGAAGCATCAGCGGTGTGTTTGTTCATTTTATCAGCTCTGGAAAGTATGTTGAATTTAATCCCAAAACGAAAAATCTATCCCTGTTTGCCAGTGAGATGGAAATGTCTTTGCTGTCTTGTTAAATGGAGTGGTCTGTGGAGAATAGGAGCGAAGGAATGACAGAAGAGAAGTATGCGCAATCAAGAGTCAGTAAAGATTCATTGTTTTATTCATGTGCCTACTGGCGCAACATTATTTTAAAAAAACAAACAAAAACAAACCAACAAAAAAGCATGATTGATTTCATTTTGACACATGAAAATACATGCTTTGTGGTGCTGTTATAATGAAATCTGACTCTGTCATCGTCCTCTCCATGTTTGTTTATCTTTAGTCAGAGGAGATGTGCAGCATACATATGATTAAAGATAGCAGTGGCAGCATATGCACATACACATGCAGACAGAAACCAACATTAAAGACACATGCATATCGGTAAGTCAAATTACCATAACAGGAGACACACACAGATAAAGCAGCTTTGGGGTGTTCGTATGCAGTTTCAGCATGTGGGAGTACAGCTGTGAAAGAAAGAAAAAATGGGAGCTCTGAGTTTCTTGAGAGCTCCCTTGACAGGGAGCAGAACAGGCTATTACTTCATATTGCACCATTTAAGCTGTTTTTATTTTGGACTCTCCAGCTCCTTCTACCAGCCGGCGCTGTCTCTGGGGATAACAATCAGGCCTCGACAAGAAAAGGCAGACAGCTTTAGAGAGTTGTATACAGTTTGTGTGTCTACATATTTGTGTGTTAGGGCGCGGTTGGATAAATGAGGTACTTTCTCTTTGCCTTTGCGTGAAGAGACCCTGGCTGTCACTCATGCTGAGTTGCTTCGACTTTTCTCAAATGCTGCTATTCTAGGTGACAGTGTGTAGACTGAGGTGTCGCCTTCACACCTCTGAGACATAACACTGACTTCCAGTTTTCTCCACCTGTATGTCTCTGTCCAATTTTGTTGGCAGTTTTTCCTATTCCTTCACACATAAAGACAAACACTAACTCACCAAGATGTGGCAGAAGGCAGGAGACAGAAATCTACAGTTTCTTAGATTCTCAGATTGGGTGCCGCAATGACAAGCTCTGAAGCACTCTCTCTGACTCACCCTTTTCTAACCTGTTGACTATTATATGTCTCTGTCCCTTTTGGCTAACAATAGCTCCCTCTAGTGCTGACAGATAATAAGACTGATGTGGAGAGACAGAGAAAGAGTAAAATCATGTAGCTTACGGTTCGGTGAGGAACAGAAGGCAGTTCTGTCAGGACCGCGTACTCTTCTTGGGAGAAGAAGGAATATCAAAGGCAAGACAGGGCCATGAGGGAGTTGAGGGGAATTGAGGGTATAAGCAAAGAGATTCAGTGAGCTGAGGTGAGAGGAGGCAAAAAAGTGCCTCAGAGAAGACTTCCAGATTTCAGGAGAGCCCTTACGTAATTTGTGCAGATGGTAGTTTGAGTGTCTCTCTCCCCTCGTGTCGCCCCTACCTCTGCCAGGACACATTATCCTCCTGTTAAAAAGGTTTAGGGCTAACTTTGATCACTTGTACTGTGTCTTTTCTTCTTTTGTGTGTGTGTGTGTGTGTGTGTGTGTGTGTGTGTAATATGTTTGATAAGTCACACAAATGACATATAGAGCACAGGGAGTCTTCTAACAGTAAGAAAGGCAGAATGCAAAGTAGACCTTTCTCTCAGAAGACATTTTGACTTCTCATAACAAAAAGAGTCAAAGTCGAACGTTAACATGCTTACAATGACAGCTAACATGCTGATATTCTTGCAGATATGATGTTTATGGGGATGGGAATGTTTTTTCTTGCAGGTATTAGGTATATGAATTGAACAAATTTAAATGTTGACGTCAAGGGAGCACCAAAGTTATTGCAAATCATTCTGAGGTGGATACGAATGTCTGTGCCAAACTTCATTGCAATCCAGCAAACAGTTGAGGAATACAAAGACTGGAGGAAAAGTCAAGTGATCACAAAAGTTGGTGGATTCATCTCCTGGGAACCACAAATGTCTGTGCATAATATTTTGCCAATCCAGTAATGCTGATATTTTGTGTGAAAAAGTGAAAAAGTTGACCTGCTGGTGGCGCTAGAGGAGAAGTCAGGGGATCACCAAACTATTAGCATTCAACCTCTGGGCACCATGACTGTTTACACAAAACAAAATAAACATCTACTTTATGGTGGCACAAAAAACTAGGTAGTAGTTGCAGATGAAACTAATCACAATAGTGATGGCACTGTGCCATTTAGGTGTGCCAGTAAACCAGACAGACAGCATGTTTTGCTTTGCACGAGTTGTTTTGCTTTCAGATGTGTAACTTTCTTTACGATTCAATATAAGGCTGCGTTTCTTTAACTCCAGATATCTATACTGATGAGGTGTCACTCCATGCAGTCTATCTTTAAGCTTATGTGTGTGCTCATTCACAATATTCATGTTCCTGTAAAACAAGGAGCAGCAGTTCAAGATGCTATTGAACAATGGCTACATGGGTTTCATAAATCTGGTGCATTCATTGCACATGAAGGACAGAGCATCTAGTTAATGCCAAATCAGATCTGGACTGGGATCATAGCAGTAGAGATAACCAGCTCAAAGCATCCAGCTACACGCTGGCAAACTGGGCACCAAAATATCTTCTAACACCTGTGAGTTTTTGATATTTGGAAAGAGAAAGATTAAAGATGTAGTCTGACTTTGCACTTCATGCACTGCATCCAATGTCAAAACAAGAGGTAATTAAAACATTAATGTTAAGACTTTATTATGGAAAATAGCGTAACGAGGGAGTTCTAGCTTGGCTCCTGTTTCACACGCTAGTTACATCAAATCTTTGCAACAGAGACACAAGCATTGATTTGCCTACCAAATTCAATTCTTCTTTGTTTGCTCTGACAGGCATTGCCATGGAAACACAAGGGAGTGGAATTACAGTAAAGTTAAGAGGGAGGCTGTAAGAAGGAGCCAGTCCAGCAGACTGTGAAGGGCTGGTATAATTCAACCAAAGACAGAGCTGCTATATCATCTCTCGGGCTGAGAGGACTATACAGCCTGCCTTAAAGTTCCTCAGTGTACTTTTAGTCTCTTGCATCTTTCAGAAAACTGCTGTTTGCCTTAAGTTTACCTTAAGTGTACATACACTTGTCGGACAAGAGCCTTTCTGGTGTCTCAGCTTGTTTCCCGAATAGTGAAAGCAAGGGATGGATTCTATTCTTGTCTCTTACACAGATGGGGTGTTAAACATTGATAGGGCTGATGCAGAGAGAAAGAGAGAGGGGGAGAGGGGAGTTGGTACAGAAAGGCACTACTTTCTTTTTCTCTTGGTTTGACTTGATTACTCTCCAGCATACCTTTTTTTGAGCATCTGTTCAAAAGCAGCAACTGCATTATGACAGAAATTCTGAATCTCACATGCATTAATGTGAAAACTGTACAAATCCAGTTTGATCTTTGTAGTTACTTTGAAGGTGTTTACACAGACATCAGACAAATCAAGCGGGATTTATAGCCCTGTTTAAGCAGCCTCACAAATTTAGGGCAATACATTTGAATATGATAATTTAAGATATATTTAAATCTTTATTTTTATATTTACATTTAACAGATATTTAAGATTGGTTGTAAATCACTTACAATCAATAAAGTCTACAACTTATCAACAGACACTTGGTGGTGCTCTACAAGGCCTGTACTACAGTCATCTCAACTTCTTGCTTGTTTAGGTGGGATATTTACTTTCAGTCTTGTCTTGAAGAATTGAAAAACATAGCTCATCTGACCTGAGGTTATAGACTTGGTCATTCAAAAACATTCCTCAAGCCCAAAATGCTTTGGCTTAGGTTTAGCAAGACAAGTAAGTAGTGACAGCAGACATCATGTTTGTATTGGCACAGTTCTACTTCCATTGCACAAATGTAACCTCTTTAAGAACATTGTGTCTCTGTCTGCACATTCACATCTCAGCAGATTTGCAGACCACATAGTCATCCTGTGCTTGTGCAGGACCACAGAGCTTCCTGGTTGATTCACCGCTGTGTTAGTTACAGAGAAAAGTTTCACATCTTACCACATTTCGTGCTTAACTGCTCCCCAAGATATGCTCTGCTTTGACTTCTCCCCATCAAAGACATAGTATCACACTGCCTGGTATGTTGCTACATAAAAAGGAATCTGTCAGTGAGGGTATGTTGGTTTGTAGGTGTAAAGCCAAAAAGTTGATCTGCTGCCTATCTCAACTGTCCATTGCAGGCAGTAAGAAGCTGGTGATTATGTAAATAAGGTTTAGCTGCAAAATGAAAAGTGCCTGTTTAATTTCAAGGGTTTAATTAATTTTATTTATTTATAAAGGCAAAATCATTCCCAGCTGCACAGTAAAACATTTAAACAATTGTTTTATGGAACATTATCAACAGATTCATTCAAATAAGAATTATAGAATGTTTAAATAAAAACTGTATTAAAAATATGTACTGTGGAACTTTTTAAAACATTATTGCATTTATTACAGTGCACATAAAAAATATGTAATGAGGTTCAATCAGCTGCATTGGGTTTGGTGTTCAGAAGGTGTTGCTCTGTCCACAGAGATTCCTTTGACTTCTTTCCTCCCTTGCTCTTCTTCAGCACCAGTATGATTATGACCAAAAGTGCGCCGATGACAATTGCTACGATAATCCCTATAAAGGTACCCGACTTGCATTGTGGCTCAGAGACAGCTTTAACATGCAAAGAAGAAGACAAAGAAATGTGTTCCTTGTGTCAACATACACATTTTTTAACATGATCTTCAACCACAGATATTTGCTGAGAGAAACTGCTAATCAAGTTAAGATGTACTTACCATCTGCATAGACATTAACAGTCAAATATCCCGACTTTTCCACGGCAGCTTTCCTCCACCCATGAGACAGAGATGGGAGCCACTCTTCTACCTCACAGAAATATACCCCACTATCTTCAGGACCTGGATTTAAGACTGTAAGGCTGAACTGGTTGGGCAAAGGGTGGCTAAATCTTAGTTTATCACCATTCCCAAACTTGTCTTGTAGGGTGGAGTTTCTGTAAACTGTGAATATGGGGCGCTGTTTAGTTTCTGTCTCTTTCTGCCAAAACCACATGACCTGGAACTCAGACGCACTGCTAGAATGTTTGATGATATGACAGGGAATAGTAAAACCCTGGGATGTGCTGGCATTCAGCTTAATTTCTTCCTTTACAATGGACAGCTGTTTTTCTGTAAAAAAAAACACACAGGTAGAAAGAGACATTTTATTCAACTAATTTAACAAGGCAAACCAATCAATGTTTCTCTAAATTAAATTCCTAGGTACACCTTTTGCAAAACGCACAAAATAGCCTGCACAACAAAATAAGATTAAAAGAGCAGAACAAATAAGAAAGATGTACATAACAAAGTAGAGAAATAAAGTGCATAAAACCACTAGAACAAAAATAGGACAGCACAATTAGAGAAGTGGTTATTTGTCTGAGAAACAGTCTGTGTGGTTGAAGCCTGACAAATGCCTGCAGGCAAACATGAACAAAATCATATTTATGGTAATATGACAACACTACCTGATGCAAATATAAAGGGAATATTGCAACATTTTGGGAAATATGTTTGACGGAGAGTTAAATGAGAAGATTGATACCACTCTTTTGTCTGTACTGTAACTACTGCAAGCAGCCGTTGTCTTAGCTTACCACAAAATTAAAAAAACAAGATATGTTAATAGTCCCATTTCATGGTAGACATGGCAACTGGGCAACCATCCAAACCTTTGTACAAAGCCAAGTCAGATGTGTTTCAGTAACTGTGTTACCATACAGACATGTGAGTGGTATCAATCTTCTTGTCTAACTTTTTATTAACGTTATTTATTTAATTTTATTTCCAAAAATGTCAAATTATATCACCCATTTTAACCATTCATAAAGCTGCCTACAGAGTGCTCTAAAAGATGTGATCATACCTGCAACATTTACAGTCAGTGTGATGGGGCCAGCGCTTTCTGAGGCCTTTTGCTGCCAGTGACCTTTAGTATCCAGCTGGTACTGCTCCACTTGACACTTGTATGTCCCACTATCCCCCTCATGGGCTCTTTGAATCCTTAAGTAGAAGCTGCTCTGAGAGGGTCTGAAGAGACAAAGTCGCCCCTGCAGGTCACTGAGCCCCTGGTTCTTTGGGTAACTCAGTAGGCCCGTGTGATCAAGCTCCAACAGGACATTTGTGACTGAAGAACTGTTCCCAGTGTAGAGCCAAACGACTTTGTAGAAAAAAGAAGGACTGGGTGCACCTGAGATATTACATTTGAGTTCCACCTCGTCTCCCTCCATGGCCATCAACGATTGCTCTTTCTTATCTAAACGAAGGTCATTGGCTGGGGAATGAGAGTGGCCAGAGAAAAGAAAAGAAATTACTTTTGCTGAGTGCTATTTTGCTATTTTGTCAAATAATTCTTGTTTAAAGTTAAAGTTCAGGGACCATATTCACACAACAGTCCCAACTTTAAGACCCTTAAATGAGGCAAATAGTAATTTGCAAAGGCTTTTAGCATCGAAGGTTACAGTATAAAGCTAGAAATTTAAGTTAGTCAAGAGGACTCCACACTAATGTGCTGCAGGTAATATGTCACACAGTGTGAGTGTTTTGTAAAAACAGAATGATGATAATGAACCCTATTTTGATGGTGGCCAGTTCATAAGCTCTCGTCAGCTCTCTAACAAGTTAAAGCAACCTTTGTACGGATGAGCATTTAATTTCACGTTCACTAAGACAGACTGGTCACTTTTCAACCAATCACTTTAGACATAGCAGATTGGTTAATTCATGAAACATGATGTCATCTGTTGTGATGGGGTTGACCCACTGCTTTCTCTTAGTTTAGGTGTCCTCTAAGTTCCTTACTAATAGTTGCTCTCAGCACTTTACTAAATTGGTCTTAAGATGAAACTCTTGGTGCCATTTAGGTGAACTCCTGATTATATGATAAGACCCTTTGTGAATACGGCACCAGAAAAGAAATTGATTGATTGATTATTTACAGACAGAGCAAAAGTTTTCTACTCAAAAAGTAATTTGCTTTTTCATGGCTGTGTGGTTGCTGTTTGATCAGAATTAATTGCCAGTGCTGAAAACTGTCTGCACCGTTTGATTCAAATGTTGCTTAACTCTTGCAATTGGTGCAGAGGAATACATGACATCACATTTTTCTAACTGAGCCTTAGCCACTTAAAATCAGCCAGAAAATAAATAACAAAAACTGTATGACCTTGAACATAGAATAATTATGTAGGGCCTCATCACTTAAAGTAATAATAAACTTGTTGGGAAAATACGTTTTCACAGCCTTTAAAATGGTATCGGACACATGTTGATAACATATGTTGAGTGCTTAATATAAATCTGTGGAAATCTACAGTGAGCTAATTGAAGATAAACAAACTTACCAGGCTCAATAACTGTTACCGTTGTAGATTTGGACACTGTTGAGAGCTGAATCCAATCACCACGAGGGTCTTGTAGCCACTCCACCACCTCACATATGTATGTGCCTCTGTCTGAAATCTGAGCTTGCCAAATATTCAACTCATAACTAGGTCCCTCACTGCGCTTCATGTTGATTCGCTGTCTTTGGCTCGACTCTATATGTTCAATTGTTATGAGGGCATCCCGGTTCGAGCTTATAATGGTCTTATTTTCTGCCTGTTGCTGGAGCTGCCAGGTGACAGCATAGCGAGAGGATGCAGAGGGATTTGAAATCTGACATTTTATTTCTATGTTAGTGTTGGTATTACTTGTCAAGGTGGGGGGGCAGGTCAGAGTGAGCTCGCTCACTAGGAGAAGGAGAGAAAGTTAAGTCATATATAGTGAGAAAAAACATGAATGGAATGCACAGTGCAGCTTTCATTCAAAATTGCTACAAAGATGGCAAGTAGCCCTACAAATCTTAGTACCTGGGTTCAGCACGTTAACAGCCACCGGGTTGGATAGAGGTAGCCGCTTGTATATATTCTCCAAGAAGGCAGACACACTACATAGGTAGCTTCCTGCCTCACTGTGGCTCGCACCGTTGATGAGAAGATAATAAACAACTTGATTCTGTGCGCTCTGTACTTTCAGCTGGTACCGGCGCTGGTCTCCAGACCAGCTGATGGTACCATCAGAGTTAATTGTCAGGATGCTATCTAGGGAGGAACCACGCTGCAGGCTCCAAGTCACTGTTATTGGTACATGTGGCCCTTTGACGCGGCACATCAACTCCAAATTTCCTCCCACAGTCACCGTGCTGCTGCGACTTACAAGAGATACTTTCAAAAATACATCTGTGAAGCAAATCCAAAATAGTCAGCAATTGTGTGTAAGAAAGGAGAAGCTGGCGATTGTACAATCATCATGTGACCATGAGTGTTCAAAGTAAAAAAGAGATGTGAGTAAATGACATTTCCAAAGGACTGTCTCTCCACTTATTGTCACACGTATTGTCTTTTGCATGTCAGCTCTCAATATCATTTCCTTCTTTAAAACAAGAAAAGGTTAATTCATTAAATATCTATGTCAACATACTTGTCTTCACATAAAACATAAAACCTAAAGGATTAAGTAGTCTTAACACTTCATCAGTTTTTCCTCATTATATGCAAATATAAGCAGTGAGGCACTCCAAAGTCTATACATTTGTGTCATTTCAACAAATGCATGTTAACAAAACTTCAAGTCTTAAAACCCTGGAAGTGAACACCGCAATATTAATTATTCAGAAGAAAAAACATCCTGAAGATTTCATTTTTTAAGAGCTTTACTCGTTTGAGCCTGGCTCAAAGTGCAAAGTTTGTGCTGATTAAAATCAAAAACAATTTTCCTCTTGGAAGCATGATTGTGCAAATCTACCCACTGTGTTTTGAAATGTCTTGAGTGAAAACTTAAAATTATGACCTGAGGTGGCACAACAGGGGAGACCATGCAGTGCTAAAATGGAAAACGTTCATCAGCAAGAATGTACTCGACCCTATTAGATTTTGACATTTCTTGCATGCAAAGTTTTGGCCTGATGGTACTACAGCAAAGATCAAAAGGGTCAAAACATTATAAATATAGTTATCTCAGAACCATAAATATCTGCCCTAAATGTCATGGCAATATGGGCAGCAGTTGTGCAGATATCTCACTCTGGACTAACCTGCTGGATGGATGTACAGACAGACAGACTGACCAACATCCATATCCTAAGCTTTGCCACTGTTTTGGGAAAAAATGAAAAAAGTGTGTTTTCCAATAGAAGTTTCAGATATGGTGAAACCTTTTCTTGAGCGTCATCAAACCATCTACATTAAAAGAGGAACCTGCTGTGTCTTTGAGACTTTGAGTAATTTGCACAGACATTACACAGACAGACAGAGACATATCTTACCTGCAGAAGTCACTGTCACAGCAGCAGTCTGTGACTGGCTGTTGGTCTTGCTATTGATTTTCCATTCAGACACAGTACACTGGTAGACACCTGCATCAGAAGGTGTGACCTCATCAAGCTCAAGGGTGAAGTTGCCAATAGTGGGACGCGTTGCCTTCACTTTGCGACTCATGAACTCTGCCGCTTTATCCATGACACCCTCCTGACTCAGATTGATGACATTAGTGAACATGGCCGTTGATGAGGATGTTGCTTTGTGTTGCCAGGTGACAGAGAGCTGACCGTTGACCCCATGCACTTGACAGGTGAGCTTCAGCCCGTCACCTTCATTAACGCTCACATCGCGCTTATCCATTCTGAGTGAGAGCCCACTTTCTGTGATGAGATAGAGAAACAGACAGATGGTATGAGTGTGTTTGAGAGGATAATAATAGAAAACAATAACATATTTATAAATAATATTATCTTATTACTATAAATAACAACATTATAATTTTTACACTCAGTATTTACCAGCATCAATTAAAACACATACAATTAAAAAGATAAAACTTAAAATGCAGGCTAAATCATACAGATGATAAATTTAAACCGCAGATACATATCTGTGTGTCTGGATGGGCTCAATTGCTGACCTGTGGCTGAGATGCTGACTACCTGGGAGCTGGAGTCCTGGGCTGCTCCCTGTGTAAAGGCACCATCCGGGCCTCTTTCCTGAGGCCATGCTCTACAGATATACTCTCCCTGGTCCTCGGTTCTGACAGGCTGCAATATGAGACGGTAATCTCTGCCCCCTGTCCGGGCTGCCCTGAGCTCTCCTTCTTTTGCTCGCACGCTGTACTCGGGCCCCACAGACAGAATGCCTGAAGGGCCGATGCGGGCCAACTCAACGCTTTCCTTGAGCCAGGCTACAGAGAAGAACTTTTCCTCCAGGTCCTGTGCGTCTATGGTGCAGGACAGCGATAGCTCCTGCCCCTCCTGCAGGGTTGTCGGCTGTGCTAAGATTCTCACCACCAGAGACGACGTGTCTGTCACCACCTCTGCCCAAGGTAAAAAAAAATAAGAACAGTGAGACAAACACAGACACATACATCCTGTCAAGAAGCCACAGAAACTGTGTGGAGGAAGAGCAAAGATAAATGTGTTAACCCATAGTGATGTGCTGGGTATAGATAAAATCAATTAAATGAACTACTTCTCACCTCTGGCTTTCACAGTCAGGGTACTTTTCTCTGCAGCCTTCTTTACGATAGAGTACCAGGACCGATCAGGATCCTGGATCCACTCCTGAGCCTGGCAGTAGATCCTGCCTTGGTCTGACAGCTCCAGCTGAGCCATCTTTAGCTTATATGTGGCCTCTCCAATTTTATCTAACCTTATGAGTCCTTTTTGGTAACGCCCTTTAAACTCCCCGCCTGGGCTCAGTGTGAAATCTCTGTTCAGAGAAATGATAGGTTGAGCTTCGTCCTCGCCGTCTTTATGGAGAAACCAGGCAAGAGACAGATGGGTGTGCTGGACGGTGTTGCTGGAGGCTTGGCATGTCAAAGTGAGAGCATCACCCTCATTATAGCTCAGTGAGGCAGAGGCAGTTGATGAAACACTTAAGGAGTTGTCAATTACTATGGCAACACATCAGAAACAGACAGAAAGACACGAAAGTTATACATTTGCCGTCTTACAATACACAGATGCAGTTACATTGAAAACTCAAAAGTAGAATGGTGACCAATTACCTTTCACTGTTGTCTTTGCACTGTAGGTTCCATCATAATGACTTTCTGAGTTGATTGCAGTACAGTCAAACTCCCCTTCATCACTTTTTAGTAGGCTGTCTATCTTAAAGATGACTGAGGTTGAAGACATGTGTGTCAGAGTTATTTCCTTCCCCCTCACGCGGGGTGAATACATGGCATAGCCGAAGGTTTGGTCAGCGGTACTGATGATGTTGATCTCAAAGCTTGGATTTGCAGGCTTTGTGATACGGTACTCAAACTCTTGTTTAGCATCGGCATTGGCAAAGCCGCTCACATTGCAGGAAATGAAGAGCGGGTAGCCCACCACCCGATACAGAGGCCCAGCTTGTGCTTCTGTGAGCACTCTGGCTTCTCCTGAATGAGGAACACACAAAACCCCAGATTCTGAAGTCAGTTGAATGCTGCAACTTAAAGGATGAGTTAGGTTTTATAAGGATGCTACACTTCAGGGTCTAACCTTTGTGTCAGATTGTATAATATGTAAAGCAAAACTATGTAGCCTTCAAGTTGTTATGCACATTGCAATAAATATCAACTTTTTCAGTCTTTTCCAAATGAGATTGAGATCAAATGAGATGAGGGTATAAAAAAAGTTACCAAAAGCAGAATATTTTAATTATTTCCAGATACATTTAGCTTAATAGGCTGTATATATACTATTAGTGTTTCTTATTACCTGTTTTTTAGTAGTGGTATATTCAAGATGGACATATTGACACGACCAACGACACCATGTCTCTTGTTTTTTAGTTACCTGCTTTCTTTAAAATGACTTTCCTGTTCTTGCTCTTTAAAAGAAGGAATATCTATTTTACAAAATAAGTATCTAATATTCTACCATGTTTTCCCTCAGCATGATCACTCAACAGAATCCAATTCAACTGCAGGAATTAAATGTTCTACTTACCATACTGCAGAAATAGCCCCAGACACAGGAGCAAATTGGCCCCCCAAAAGGATAGCAGGGAACAGCTCATCCTGAACCGGCTTCAGAAGTTACGCAGTGTTCACACCAGTTGAGACCGAGCCCTTAGTCAGCCTCACTGTGTGCAAAGCTGTCTCTGCTCTTGCACAGATATTGAAGTGGTTGCTTCCTGTAGATAGCCAAGAGGAAGTCTGTAATATTTTCTTCACACGGTCGCAGCTTACTATAGACCTACTGTACCTATATTTTATCATTACCACATATGTGTCAAAAATATACATGTGCAGGTGGTTGGGGTTTGACATCGATCCATGTCGGAATTCAGGTCGGAATAATGACACTGTCCTCGTTTGGGTTCATGTGCAATCATTAACTGTTGAAGTGAAGTGATATTCTGCGGTGGTTTCTGCTTTTGTCTGGTGATGCACTCTATCGACATCTTCACAGAGCGACACATCTCCGTGTCTAAAAGTTTTTGCCCTTGGAACGAACTACACCATCCATTGTATTTTTCATTTCAGCATAAAATATGTGTAACTTTCGCTTTTCCAGAATTCGACTGAGCATTTACACGATTAACAAGGGTCATTAATTACAATATCACTTAATACCAAGTCCGAGCTATTACGGCAAACACTGAAACAGTATAGAAGTTAGGGCTCGTTTACGTTTGAGTGTGACTGGTGTTTAAAACAAATGAGGCAATAGTGACACCCAGTGGAGGAGATTAAAGCATACACGTCTGCTACAGCTGTGACTTTCACTTTCACATGGTCTGAGCTATTGCTTTCATTGTGTAAATAAATGCTGGGGAATTTGAAGCAGAGATAGAGGACAAGGGAGAACGTCTCTGTGTTTGAGGACAGAGCTGGGTCAAATTGTATTCTCTTTTTGTTTTTCCATTGATTGGCAGAGAAAGATAAGATGAGGGGAAACTTAGGAGGGGAAAAAAAGGATAATGTGTGATAATAATGTGAAAATATTTGTGCAGAAGAAATCCAGAAACAGTACAACTATGGCAGCTACGTGTGAACTATAATAATATAATAATATTGGTATAAGTATGAATAATAAATCCAATATATGTGATAATAATACTATAAAATACACAGTAAAACACAATGCACAAAAACAATACAATTATATATATAATAAAAGTATGTTGTAATAATAGAAATAATGCAATGATAGACAAAACATTAAGGATGTAGCTGTATAATTCTGTTATAGTGATTTAAGTCATCTAAAGCAATTTAGTGGTAAAAGTAAAAATAGATTATAGCAGGTAAATAAGAAATAAAAAACTGCTACAAAGCTTTTCTTTTATCTTTGACTGGATACTTTTACCTCTTCAGGCCTTTAAAAACTTTTAAAATTCAACAATCTGAGAATCCGATTGCAACGCAAAGACATATGCAACCTGTGCAAATGAGTCACTCGTCAACACTCATTCACTTCAAAGGTTCATAAGCCACAAAGGCTGGGAACCACTGCATTTGGGGATTAAGGGCCTCATGCAGAAGCAACTCACTTGTGATAACAGGGGAAAGGCTAAACCTGCTCTCTCCCTCACCCTGCCCGGGTTCATCCTGCTGGTATGGGGATCAAACAGGCCACCTGCCGATCACAAGCCACTATCCTGTGATTACGATCAGTTTTATCCCACTTAGGTGCCGGAATGGTGGAGTGTTGTAAGACTAAACAAGAAGTGAGTTCATGTTGGTAGCACATTTATGGCCTCACAACAACATACAGTATTTAAAAATGTATTCAAGATTAAACACATTAAATACACTTTCATCCCAAGCAGATAACAGTGTTATTTTTGTAGTGTTCTCTATTTGGTGTGGTCTGGGCGAAGGAGCCCTGGCGACTGCGGTTCTGAGTAAAGAGGAAAATTGAGTAACTTAGGGGAACAGCAGAACAAGAGACAAGAAGAGGAAGTGTCTAGCAACAAGCATTGCTACATACGTATGTTCCTCTCAGAACAGGAATAGGAAGTATGAAGAGGACAGGAAAAAACAAATCCACATCTCAGCGCGATACAACTGCACGCATAAACCACAAGGGCCTTTCTGCTAGTGCAGGTGCACCTGAAGTAGCTGCACGCTGTTCAGAGAAGAGTGAGTTTGTGAAGAGGTTCTGGTGTACAAGATGAGTGCCTCACTGGAGAGGACTACAGACTGTCCCTTGCCGCTTCTTGAAGATGACTCCAGCCCAGATGAGGAGACAGAGAACCTGACAGGCTCGAGTGAGTTACGTTGGGAGGATGGAGGTCTACCTTTGGAGCTGCAGAGAGGCATGGAAACCCTACGAGTGAACAGGGAACTGACTGATGTGGTGCTGTGTGTTCAGGGACATGACTTCCCTTGTCACAGAGCCATTCTCGCAGCTGCCAGTCACTACTTCAGGTAAGAATTCATCTAGCATTGTCAAACTCCATAGTTATGGCACTGCTGGTTTTACTGAATTAAAGTTCTTCTCCGTAGGGCGATGTTTTGCAGTGGTCTGAAGGAGAGTCATGAGGAGCGTGTGGAAATAAAGGGGTTGGACAGTGGGACGATGCGCTCTCTCCTGGAGTATACCTACACCAGCCGAGCCATCCTTACACACTCAAATGTCCAGAGAATACTAGAAGCTGCCAGTCAATTTCAGGTAAAATGACAATAAAGTTAAAGAGGATATTTGAGTTTTTTTACTTTGCATAATCATCATCTGATACACGGTTCCTTTTAAATCTGGAGCACATTGTCGGCAGCTATCATTTGCATTACCAATTGATTGCCAGTAAAGACAAAAAGTTCTGCAAATTTGCAAATATTTGTTTTGGACTGTAATTATAAAAAGTTTTTTTTTTTTTAAATGTCTTTTATGTAAAGTACAAACTTCAAAGACCTAACCCTAAAGCAAACATTGCATAAATTGCTCATGTCCTCAAAACATAAAAGAACCAGTTAAGAAAGTTGAGTTATAGCTTGGTAAATTTTTTAATCTGATTTGTTACATTGTGCGATTCCTTAGTGAAAGTAAAAGCATAAACTCCCAGAATTAGACTCACAACAGCCTCGGTATCCTTGATATTCAAGGCATTTTAATTCAGTGTGATTTAATTATAATTACATTTTGCTGATAATACTTACATTTACAATACAAGACTTTTACTGCATCATACAGAATTAGCAGCAAAAATGTCAATAAATGTAGAAAATCATTCATTTGTTTACATTCAGACAGACAGGGTCTATTACAGTGATAATTCTAATAATAATATTAGTGTTATGACCCTGCTGTAGTGTACAACTAACCTACATTTAAAATCCTCCCAAGTGTTCTGTTCTTCTAACTTTAGACAGTTGTTTTCCCCCTCTCAGTGGAACAGACGTTTTACTGGTTAAGAGACAAGTTGCTGTAAAAGGGAAGTGAAAGTAGCCCAGTTGTTTACACTCAGGATCAGTTTTCCATACAGGCTTAAATTAACTACACAGCTGTGCCAACGGAGGAGGCAGATGTTTGTATACCTCTATTTTTGTGACAAGCAATTTAAGTTTTAGATTATGAAGGTAAAAGGTTCCTGGCATCACTTCTTCAACAGGCTGATTTCAGGGTTGAGGTTAGAAATACAGTCTGATTATAATTTGTGTACAGGGAGGAGGAGCATACAAAAAATATAATTCTGCTCATTGTTCAGGCTTATGGCAAGAATTCTCAAGCTTGTATGGCACAATTTTTGTGTTTTTCATGTTGTCTTGTCAATTTTACCTTTGCATACTTTTGAAATTCTGGTAGGGCTACAGCTCAGCACTCTAAGAAATCATGCAGCTTTATCTTCTTATTAATGGGTTGGGGTTAGTATTCATTATTGAGAATATTGAGAAACTCTGTCTTTGTGCAGTGCTAACTCAGTTTCCAACTTAAAAGTGATAGTGGCCTGATTCCTATGCTGTCTCTTATAGTTCCTGCGTGTGGTGGATGCATGTGCTGGCTTTCTGAACAAGTCCCTGCATCTAGAGAGTTGCATTGGGATCCTCAATCTTGCTGAAAGCCACGCTCTACCGGCCCTGAAGACCGGGGCTCAGGACTACATCACCTCTCACTTCTCCGAGGTGGTCCAGCAGCAGGACTTCCTGGATCTGCCAGCAGACTCGCTAGAGAATGTCCTGCAGTGTGACAAACTTGACGTGAAGTGTGAGGAGTGTGTTTTTGAGGCACTCATGCGATGGGTGAGGGCCCAACAGGATGAACGATACCCTTTACTGGCCAGGTTGCTTTCACATGTTCGACTGCCACTGCTGGAGCCTGCATATTTTGTAGAAAAAGTGGAGTCGGATGAACTGATTCGCGGCTGCAGTGAGGCTTTTCCTTTGTTGCAAGAAGCCCGAACCTATCACCTGTCTGGCAGGGAGGTCAGTATACAGGGAGGACCTAAAGTGTTGTTGATGATGTTATTTTACAAAATGCTTTATCCAACATTTAGGTTTGGCATTAGAAAATATAAGAAGAAGATATAAAGATGTTTGTGTAAAAAAACACCCCCAGTAAAAAAAAGTACTGATTCAACTTATTTACTCTAGTAAACGTACAGACTCTGAGATGTACTCTAAGTATCAAAGTAAAAAGTACTCTCTTGGTCTTGATGTGTCATGATGTTAGGAAGGTGTGCCTAAGTAATGTAAGGAGTATAAATTATATAAAAGTGTAAAAGTAAAAAGTTGTCTGAAAAATAAATACTCAAGTAAAGTACAGATACCCTGAAAAAACTACTTAAAGGTCCAGTTTGTAACATTTAGGAGGATCTATTGGCATAAATGGAATATAATATGAACAACTCATATTGGTATTCGTTTATAATTACCAGAAAAGAGGAATTATTATGTTTTTGTTACCTTGAATGAGCCTTTTTTCATCTACAGACGAGTCCATAATGCTGAGCCATCATGTTAGTAGCTCAGAAGAGACAAACCAAACATGGGCTTTAGATAGGGGTGTTTGTGTTTTTCCGTGTTTTGTGTCCACTGTAGTTTTTCCTTCTCACGTGGAAGGGGAGGGTGAAGCAAGGGAGTTGCGTTCTGGAACTACACAGCTCAAAGCCACTTAATCCTAAACTGTACCATAAATACTGTATAGCAAAGTATTGTACTTTGTGCTTCCCACCTCTGCCAACTGTGCCAAAATGTATAGACTATTTGTCTATAATTTATGCACTGAGACAAAGAAATAAATTCTGGACCTTTCTAGTAGGTTTGAGGGCCCTGCATAACCACCCACCCCAAGTCCCACACCCCTGACTTTGTGCCTACCTCATTGTGTGATAAAATGACTGCTATATTTCATGCTTTTATAGTTTATTGTGCTTTATGTATGTATAACATGTTTACAGGTGGTCTCTGAAAGAACCAAACCCCGCGAGAAACACTTTCTATCAGAGGTGTTCCTGATAATTGGAGGCTGCACTAAAGATGAACGCTTCATTTCCACTGTCACCTGTTTGGACCCTCTCAGACGCAGCAGGCTAGAGGTTGCCAGGCTGCCAATCACAGAGATGGAGGACGAATCCCAAAACAGAAAATGGGTGGAGTTTGCCTGCATCACCTTCCGCAATGAAGTGTACATATCTGGTGAGAGAAGTCATGTATTCATGTTTTTTCCGTAAAAGGCTTACTGTGTTATGTGTAGGCGACCCTCTACAGTCAAGATGAAAGTGAAACTGTACTCACTGTGTAGCCTATCTGCCAAGTTATTGTGTAAATCCTCTCATCGCTTACTATTTTTTCTTGCATCTTCATCATGTGAACAGCTGTTCACTGTTGTAAATGTTGGGTACTTATTTAAATGTGATGCTGTTTTAATCAGTAAATCCATAGTGTACAACTGAACTAAAACAACAGGAAGACGTGAGATCATCTGCAGTAACGGTTGTAGTTTTTTAGGTGCTTTATTGTTCAGCATCACTGTGAAAGTTCATGTTTTTGATTAGAATGAGAAGTGGGCAGCCCAATGTAGAACAGATACAGTCATATTAGTAATGATTCAGTGACACAGCAGTGTTTTGGGATGAAAGCTGGTCTGTACAGCGGGTGACTAATAATCCTGTTGTTGCAGGAGGTAAAGAGACACAGCATGATGTCTGGAAATATAATGGCGCCCTAGACAAGTGGATCCAGATCGAGGTGCTGACAACTGGGCGCTGGAGACACAAGATGGCAGTTCATGGGGGGAAGGTGTACGCACTGGGTGGATTTGATGGTGTTCAGAGACTTGCTAGCGTTGAGGCCTATGATCCTTTTCACAATCGCTGGACACAGGTAAACATACAAGAATAATATATTTATGTGGAGCTGTTGTGTAACTTTACACTAAATGTACCTTGAAGCAGCCGAAATTAATTAATTTAAAATAACACTATGTGAAAGGTGTCGCTTGTGGTGAGAAATCCACAGAGGGTTATCACCTGACTCTGCAGTTCCCCTCAGCTCTACAAAGCGTCTTTCAGTTCATTGTTTTGGCTTTCCAGCCCACAACTTCACTTTTGATTCCTTCTCACTGCTCTCATCAGCCTTGTTTCCACTCTAAAAAAACACTGTAAGCTATCCGTCCAGCAGCAGACACAGTATGCAACTATTGCTGGTGAACATAGTGGAAAATTTAGCAGCTAAAGAGCCAGATGCTTCTCTCAGAAATTGGTGAAGACCAAAACAGGGCTAAAAGAAGAATTAATTTTGAACTTTAATTTATCAGGCAGCCAGAAACACAACTCCATATGAGTCCTAATTTGGGGACATGTCTATTAGATAGATGTAAACCAAACTAAAAGATCATTTGTCCTCAGAGACTATAAACCCCTCATTCAAAATAAAATAATAATCAGGAACAAATTGTGTGAACTATATAAATGACCCTACAATTTGTTGAATAACTGAAGGAATCATTAAAACTCAAACTAATTGAAATAATTTATGAAATAAAAGACTGCATTTTGAAATATGTTTATTGGGCCCCATAATAACCTTGTTAATTACAATTACAACTATTATTGTGTTCATTACTGTTAAATACTGTACATCTGACACTCCATAACGTGCACTGTTAAACCATATACCTCACACATTTACCACCACTCCTGTCTGGCTGTACTTCATTACTGTACTGTTTGATGCCCTTTTGGCTGTAATTGCAGGTGACACCTCTCGCAGTAGGTGTGAGCTCCTTTGCTGCTGCAAGCTTTGACAAATGGATCTATGTGATTGGTGGTGGGCCCAATGGAAAGCTGGCAACTGATCAGGTCCAGTGCTGGGAACCTGGGACAGACAGCTGGGAACTGCGGGCTCCCATTCCCATCGAAACCAAATGCACTAATGCAGTCACATTCAAGAACTGCATCTATATAGTTGGTAAGTTGGCAGTAGACCATTTACTCACATAACTTTTAAGTATTTGTACTTCACATCCATGCTTCTTTTTTACCTCTATTACAATTCAGGGAAATGTCTTACCACATTTATTTGGCACCTTTAGTTACTTTAGTTACTTTGCAGATAAGCTTTACAGACATATGAGCTTATTAAATAGTTATAAGTACCATTACCTCAAAACATCCAATAATAGCCTATAATATATAATGGTATAAAACTCACAGGGCGCATTTTGGTGCATTAAGAGTTCTTTTGCTTTTGATATTTGAAGAATATTTGACTAAGAAGCCTTTTGTACTTAAATCACATTTTCAATGCAGGATATTTATTTATATTGGAGTATTTTTTATATTATAGTATCACTAACTTTGCCTATAAGTATAGGAGCTAAAGACCTATTTAAGATTATATAAAAGTTTCATTCTTTCAAAACTTGATCAGATAATTGTTTTTCAAGAATGTGGTCATCTGTGTCTGGTGTCTTTTGTGAGAAATGGTGACACACATACTTATTAACCTTAATATGGTTACTGTTCAATTCTCTGCTGCCTGTAACAACAAACTTTTCATCACTCCGGGGCGGGATAACAAGAACCAAGTCATTTCCACAGTGATGTGCTGGGACGTTGGCCGTGGGGTGTTGACGGAGGAGTGTGTTCTACCTATGGGAGTGTCGCACCACGGCAGTGTGACACTGATGAAGTCCTACACACACATACACAGAGTAACACCTGCTGAGAGCCAGTGACACAGGCTTCTGTGAACAGGACATTTCTGATGTTGAGAGAATGGCTGAAAGGGGAAATAAAGTGACAGAAAAGGGAACAATCAACTACTAGGTGTCAATCACTCCTTTAGCAGTATAATGTTATATTACAGCAGCAATTCTTGAAACTTGATTTTATACTGATATAAATGAATGAATTAAAAACTACAGTATATATAAGACTATTTAAGACGTTTGATACCAAGAAATACATTGTTTTATGGCTTTTTACAGTTAAGAATGGTTAAGATAAAGATGACAAAAACATAGTAAGTAATGAAATGGAAACAGAAAAGAGCAATATTTGGATCAAATAAATATATGCATATTTATAACTAAAAATATGCACAACAACACTATGTGTGACTTTCATTGAGGAACCAAACCAAAGCACCTGGTGTTTTTTATTCACACAGTTTGTCTTTATCTCAACATCTGACTCACAGGGTTCAGGGTGCTAACAGTGTAAAAACAGGGTGATAACAGTAGAGGGTGTGTTTTACATTTGAGTCAAACTAATCACTCATCATACTGTCTTTATGAGACACACAGCTACTGTATTATTTATTAGCTTTATTGGCATTTGAAACAGACGTTCACATTGACAAAGCAATAGTAAAATATACATACAAATAAAAATAAATAAATAAAATGTGAAAGGAAAAGAAGACCTTGAAAGGTAGCATACCTTTCTCTCTAGCTCACACATCTGTCAAACTGAATCTGGCGTTGAGCCCATAAACCAGTGCTTGCTTCCGGTATAGTTTTTCAAATTAAAGTACTGCTATAAGGTGACAAGTATAGGAACGAGGTTTATGTGGTGAAAAAATGTTTGTGTTTGTTTATGTGGCCACCTCAATACTGAACAGTGGTAGAAAGTAACTACCGGTAACTAGTAGTACTTGTGTACATCTATACAGTTTTGAGATATCTGCCTACTTTACTTCTGTTCGCACATTCCAAACATTATGGACTGATCTGTTAAAGGTCATTGTTAGGTTATGTTGATATGTAGGTTTACCTATTAAACAATGATCAGGTTTTGAACAATTAGTTTGAAAATCACAAGACCGGGAGCTCTCCGGTACATTTTTTTCCTCTTTGGACAGAGTGGACAGTTACTTTCGCTCTGGGAGTTTATCGATGTTTGCGGTTAACTTTCAGAGGTTCTTCCAAGAGTTTTGTTTAATGCAAACAGGTTCAAGGAATTATAACAACCCAGAAGCTTTTCGACATATTATATCAGAAAGGACGACAGTTAAACTGTTTATAGGCTATGTGAGACATCAAAGTGAAAGTAAAGACAGGGGTCGAATTCCTGCTTTTCTGAAATGGCCCCTCCTTTTTACTTGGCCTATTTCATCTTCACCTCTGGTCTAGGTGAGTTTGTCTGCAGATTATGGCTGTGCTGATTTTTGTTTCACACTATAAACCATCAACTACTGTCAGAGAGATATAATGTGGTAAATGTTGATGATGTAGTGTGTACTGTTATTATGGACTGAAGAACGATACGTCATCAAACAACAAATTTGATGACACTTAAAGATATTAAGGTGACCTCACGACTATTAAAACAGTAAAACCTTGAAAGGGTTGTGGTAGGGTGGGAATATTGTTATAGGCACTGAACCAGTGTCTTAAGTTGTTAATTTTTATATGATCCAAAGTTAATTGTGGCTTCTGTTGCTTTTGAATTAATTCTGTCATTTTAATTCTTGATTTTTGCATTTGTATATAACACAATTAAATCATTTAGTGTAAACAAGATAACAAGAAAACAGTTTTGGGCTTTGTTTCAGGCAACACGCTGCATGATGTTGCTTTCACTCTCTGGACCGAAACTCTCCCCTGCAATGTTTCCTTTTCACCCACACTTAACACAGTACAGTGCTACAATTTGGCACACAAATCTATTTTGTACATTTCCAAGGGCTTTCTGTTCTGGTATTTTTTTTTCAGGATTTTGTAGCTTGTTTTAGTGTGGAAGTCACAGAGCAGTCACCACATCAGGCTCCAGTTAATAAAGACATTCGTCTGACTAATCTGACCAACCCAACAGTGTGTTTGAGGAGATCAAGAGCTCAAAGCTAGTAAAACCAATATTATCTCTTATCAGTCACCTTATTAAGGAACTGCATTTATTTGGCATTGCTGCTTTTTTATCATAACCTTGGTTCAATCAAAAAATTTGGCTCTCCACTAAATACTCCTGGATGTTTGTTCAAACAGCTTAAAGACAATATTCACGTATTTTGCACCAAATTAGGAATTACTGTGACTCTTATATTGCAGTAAAAAAAGAACAGGGATCGGTGACAGTAATGTCATGCCCTAATACCAGTTAGCCAGTGTTTCTTACTTTTAACCATGTCAGTATTCTTTACCCTAAAACAGTAGTTTAGTTTTAGTTAAGGCCTAAACCATACAAACAACTAATGTATTTGTCACGATGAAGATCGTTTCCCTAACCTTAAACCAAGTAATAATCAAGGAAATTCATTATCATATATTATATAACACAAGGTTGTATAACCAACGACAGTTTTATGGGTTCCTTCACACTTACACACTAGAAAAAGATAATCAAATTCATAAAATAAATACAAGGGTAAATCAAATAGAATATATAAATAAAACAACATATACAGCTATTTATGAACATTTATTACATTCCTTTTAATTAATTCTATTTATTTGGTTTCATTCATGTGTCTTTCATGTATAACTCATTACTCCTCTTTTCTGATAGACTTATGACCTTATAGTTCGGTTTAATTCAAAGGGTGGACCCAAACGCATGAGAACAGTTTAAATGAAGTTATGGAGAGGTGCGGCAGTGCAGAGGGGAAGGAGTGGGTGGAGGTGTGAGTGTGCGGAATGCCAAAAAAGAGTGGACAGGAAGGAGGCAAGAGAAGAGTGATCCGAATAGTACGAAAAGAAAGTGTATGTTCTAACAATAGGATCACAAAAAACTATAGAACACTGCACCTGAGCTATACTACACTGTATCAATGACTCGCACTGGGTGTAATCATGTTTAAGCTGATGCAGATGTGATAAGATAGTAGAGATGACAGAGGGAAGTGAGCCCACAACATCATACAAGAGCAAGAGATGTCGCAGAAAGAATCCATGAAATAAATTATCAACCATAGTTACATAGATTAGAAGTGCCCCAAACCCCCCCATATTGGTGTATATTTTGTGTTATCATATCTGGAACATGAATGTGTCCTGCAGAGCCCAGACACCCCCTAAAGAAGTGAAGTGTGGGTGGATGTGTCTGTTATACCTGGAGTATATGTATGATGATAGTTTATCTGCTGAGCAGTATCCGTCAGGTTCACAAAATGTGAAATAAGTTGGAGACTCTTTGTAAGTCCTCTAAATGATTCATGAATCACTTGTCATATCCTGACGGGAGTAATTGGGAGCCACTGTTCTTCCACACTGTGACTATTGAATGTTAGACTGTCTGTGTGGGCTTCATTTAGCCCTAAATTATGGCCTTCCTCAGGATTTACACTCAGCTTGAGCCAAGTTTTTTTTTTTACGTCTTGGGAAAAAGAATGTCAATTTTGATACTGATGTTAGACAAAGCCAGGGGCTTGTTTTGGGGCTCCTGTCAGTTGCTGACAGGAAAACCACTGTGTCGAGCAAATGCTACGTGACCAGCTTAGATCAGGAATTACCCTGGTTTAAGGTATCACGTGCTAACAGGTTATTGCTATCTCAGGTAGGTTTCATGGACTTATATGTATACTTCTTTTTCTGTAATGTAATTGCCTGTAAATTATCTATAATTATTTATTAACATTCAAGCAAATAATGTAATTTAT